TTGCCATCCTTGCGTCACTTGGAAAATCTATATCTTGGGTTAAATGCTTGGTCCAAGAACATTGATTCCAAAATACTTTCGATGGCGGGAAGTTCGCTGTCGAGACTGTTTTATGGCGCGCCACTCACCAGAGAACCGTTGGACACTGTCACCACCTATTGCAAGAACATTACCACGATATTTATTGTTTGTTCTTCGACGGGTGTTTGTCAATTCATTGGATCCAGCATTAGCACGCTCGAAAAATTAAAGAGGCTTGAGATCGAATGTAATTGTTATGATGTGACCAACATCATTTTACAAAGTTTAGAGAACAAATTGCCTTTGTCACTTGTTTACCTGAGATTTATTAGTTTTGAATTGATTGCACCGAGTGCATTGAATAAATTCCTCGAAAAATGCGATGCACCCTTAGAAACATTGATCATAAGTTTAGACTGGCAGAAATACTCATTCGAATATGGTTACGCGATCATTAAATTTTATGATAGAATGCACACCCTGAAGAGGTTAGAAACCGGTACTTACATGGATAAATTAGTTTTCGTGGCTATAGAAAGTTGTGGAGTGAAAATCTCGGAGATTGATAAATTCAAATCTTTGAGGTATTACTTTTAATATTTAAATAAAATTGGATACATGTTTGACCGGCAAATTCACTCGATCCACACCGTCGATTGCCCAGCACAAACGCGATTTTTTACGACGAATAATCCAGGATATGAATGAATTGCTTATATTAATCTAATTCATTTATGTAATTTCGATTTATTAAAAAAAAAATCGTCATTGTATATACTGTAATTCTGTGTCGATATGAATGTATGCAAAGTCAACTTTATACTATTCTCCGCCTCGAAGAAAAACATTCAGACGTGATGGATTAAAGCAACGAACGAACGAGCAATACAATTAAAATTATATACTGAGAGACACGTGATGCACAATTTATTTAACAATCCAGCATCCAACACTTTACAACCACCAAACAGGAATCGAATGAATAACATCCAAATCGCTCGGTTCCTCCCCCTCACACTTTTCACACCTGCACTCAAATCCATATACGGGAATCAAATGCATCGCCCTCTCCCATTTTTCCAACATTGGATCGCAATACCTCAAAACGATCTC